AGAGAGAGAGAGAGAGAGAGAGAGAGAGCATTAATTAACTTACTTTCCTTTTCCTCCCATAGTCTACACACGAGACTTGCACAACACGAAACACGATCATGACGTCAAAGGAAACAGACATGGTCCCAGGAGCAGACTCAGGTCGGTGTACCCGTGGACATTGGAGAGAGAGAGAAAGAGAGAGAAAGAGAGAGAAAGAGAAAGAGAGAGGGGGAGACATAGAAAGAGAGAGAGATAGAGAGAGAGGGAGAGAGACAGAGAGAGAGAAGAGAGAGAAAGAGAGAGAGAGTGAGATACAGAGAGAGAGGGGGAGGGAGAGAGAGAGTTATTTATGCAAATTTTTATATTTCACGAGTGTGATAGGCCATCAGCTTATTTCTCGTGTGAAAAGGAAATATAAGCTGATGGCCTATCACACACGTGAAATTAAAAAAAAAGTGGTTAAATTACTCCGCGAACTATGTACTCCTTCTAACCTTCTGTAAACAAAGTACAGACTATAATTACACTATTCCTAGATCGTGCAATGTTATGGCAGTCGCTCTTAGCCCTCTTTAAAAACCTCTTTGCGAAACGCACCCCCCCCCTTTCAGGGCCGTGCTACTGACTGAAGCTGTCTTAGCCCATTCCCAAAAAGGGATATTAACATGTTCTTATGCACAGTAGAATTGCAAATTGGCTGCTTCATCAATTATTTCATGCTCATAACTGTGCCTGAACTGCTTACGTGGAACTGCTGGGTTTTTTTCATTCTTAATCCTTACTACCGTTGTTTTTCCTCTACTTTTTTATATGTTTGTCACTCTCTTGTGACCCACTATTTCCGGGGTGCCTTGGTAGTCGAAGCAGACTTTGTGCTGTTGAAGTTGAAGCTAGAGAGGTGAGCAGAGTAAGTCTGATTGCCTGTGTGGTCTTCTCTGTTGACATCCACCCCTTGGCGCCCATATTATAATAATAATAATAATAGATAGATAGCATTTGTATAGCGCATATCCCCGCTCAACAGCAGGCTCTATGCGCTTTACACTATATTATTACCCTAGCAGACCATAGAACATCCCGAAACATTCTCAGCTTCCTGGGAAGCATACAGTGCAAGCAGCCGATTAAGCGCTCAAACACTACCAAACTGACAAGATCTTTCGCTGTCTATAGCCGGGTACCCATTCCCACCTGGGTGAAGTGAGGAAATTCGTGTAAAGTGCCTTTCCCAAGGACACAACGTCGGGCCCTTGACGGGATTCGAACCAACGACCTTACGGTTGCGAGTCCGAGAGCCTAACCACTAGGCCACCGACGCCACTAATGCATTATGACCTTATGCATCTGTGAGCGCCGTAAAACCTTACTTTAAGTCAAAGATCTGTACATAGATTGTTTTAGTGCAATGCTAGCAAGTCCAGATTTTATGCTCGCTAGCGACTCCCTGCCTTTGATTAGTTTTGGTTACAAAGTTTAAAATCAAAGTATCTCTAGTTTCACCATGACAACATGTCATGTCATTCATGTATAAATGTATAAATGCAGTTTCTGGATTTTTCAACTGTAGAATCATAGATTTTTATGCTTGCTTTGCCTATGCTTTTATTATTATTGTTTAGTTTGGGGTTTATTTCAAGGAGGGAGACATACGGATAGCATAACGTGTAAATTAGCGTGGCTAAAAACAAAGGAAAACTATCCAGATTTTTCCAATCCTCTCTCTGAGTATGACGGGTATGAAAATTTTGTTATCATGTAAGACTCTCGAATGGATCCTCTTGTCCAACTGGTTGGTCATTTGAACTTTACTGGTCCGGATCTACTTCGCCAGCTGGTATCAGTATGGTATAAAAATATTTTATTACATGCGTTGTGGTGGTAGATCATGATTTATCCTACGAATGAAATTGCCAAGTTGTAATCACGAGTTTCAACGCGAAATAACCACAAACAAAGCAATAACAAGGTAAACATTGGCAAGGCAAGCACAACACGCACGGTTCAAAAGTTGAACAATTAAGAAACTGCATTTTTATACAATACTTGGAGTTGTTTTAGCTTTGCACTTCCGGTGAAATATATCCAATACAGGCTAAACTGATAGCCCATTATAAACATTTGTATAGTTATCTATTATCTATTTGTGGTGGCCGAATTTTGCTATTCAAAAGGCTTTTTAATGGCTGCATCGATCGACATGCGGTTTTCGCCAAAAGATTCTTTAAAATATTCTCCAGAGCATGACGCCCTTCGTTTTTTCAGATTAGAGACAGTTTTGCTGCAAAAAACTAAATTTCTTTATTTCGCTGATCGCGTTTGTAGGCCGACGCTTCAGTCTTTGTAATTTTAGAAAATCCGGAAGTGATATTTCTCGAGGCGCATTTTGTTTTGAGAGTATAGATCTAGACCTTATAATTCTCTCAAGATTTATTGTCCCATTCCAGTAGAGTGTAAATATAGTAGGCCAATGACTTTTAGTTGATATTAAAGCACCGATCATTCCTTTCATCGAAAGGGGGCCCAGCTTGTATTCTATATTCGCCTTCTAGCCTTTTGTAAGCAAAAACTTGAATCATAATATTCCGAAACCGTGCAATGTTGTGGTAGCGTCTTTTTGCCCTCTGTAAATGCTTCGCTGCAAAGCCCGCACACTAAAGCGGCCAAATGAGGTGCCAAATGCCACTACGAGTCTCCCAATGTCCATAGTATGATAAAGAGTAGGCACAGCTCTTTACATTGCCCTTAAGTTTGTTTCAAATTGATTCAAATGATGTGCACCATAGTGAACCGGGATTACGTCAGAGTGCGCCGATGTATATCAGGGCAATGCTAGCAAGTCTTGGCCTATGCTAATCTAGCAAACGACTCCCAGCCTTCGGATTGTTTTGGTTGCAAAGTTTGAACTAAAAAGTTATCTTTATTCTCACGGCAACATGTCATATAAATAATTTATTACTTGAGTTTTGGTGGTAGACCATGATTTATCCTACGAGTGAAATTGCCAAGTTGTAATCACGAGTGTTTAACATTCAGGTTAACTTTAAGAACGTTACAGAATCGGCATATTATAATATACGTATTGCATTCATGTATCAAATTATGCTCACACGACCTTATAGTAGTGAGCGCCGTACGACTGTTACCAGACAAAGAAGCATGGATAGGCTAGACAGCATAGAATAAAGGGATGTGGGGTGGGGGGAGGGGGGGGTGACCATCCATTGAGCTCTCAAATTTTCTGCAACAGTAGTTTGCGATTTTGGCTCTGTTATTAGCCAATTTAAACAAAAAGAATAATTTCATCGAAAGCCTCCTTTTGTTGACAAGTGTTCATTTGTTTTTTATATTAAGAGCAATGGTTGTTGAAAGGATAAGTGGCGAAACGGCTCATTTTCGGATACTCGCTTCCCCCTGCCACCCCGTCCTTTTTTTCAAGTGGCTATGCCATCTACTCATTAACAAAACAAAGCAAAAACCTTATTGCGTTTCGTCATCTCCTCTTCTCCAGGATTAAACCGCCGGGAAAGTCTCCTGATGAACGTTCAGGAAAAATTGATCCTGCAAGATGCCAAGTTGGATGGCTTTGCCAAAATGGAGCGGCGACTGATTGATCGACTGGACGAGGAGAAAGAATATTTGCGAGACAGACTGCATGCGTCGATGATACTTATTATTGAGCGGCTAGATAAACTTGATCAACATCATCAGCGCTCAGACCAGCAAAGTGGAAACGTCAGAGATGCCACGGCTCGTCACGTACAACATATTTCTACAGACCACCAGCTGAAATCCGCAGAGACAGCGACGGTGTCTGAGGGCATGAATAATAATGTAGCATTTGAAGGAAAACTGATAGAAATTCAGGAACATTTGTCAAAGCAGATGACTTCTGGTTTTGACATGCTGCGAGAGGAAACGATTCAAGAACTCGAGAAAGAGAAACAGCAAATGCGGGAGGAGAAAAATTTCATGATGACACAGCTGTCCAAGGCTATGGGCGATATTCTGGGACGGCTCCCAGACAAACAAGCAAACGCAAATCCTATTTCAGTCAGCGACCCTTTCAGCTTTGACCTAGAATCGACAGTGAAACCCGACTATGATGAGCTGATGAAGGCAGTAGAGACGACACGAGAAGAGATCAAAACCGAACTTGGTACGCTCCAAGGAACAGTTGTGAAGGAGCTGCACAGGAATGTAATGGAAGCAAGCTACGATCTGATAAACATGATCGAGAAAGAAGCTCAACTAACACGGGAGAGCTCACGCTGGACAGGTGTCGAGTACAGACCTAAGTACGAATTCTACTTCAATATAAAACGGTTTAAACAGCGAGTCGGGTCAGGTACAGACGTTTTCAGCTGTCCCTGGTATATCGCTCAGTTTGATTCCTGCCTCAAGGGATCAGTGGATTTCAATGCAGATGGGACGATTGGCATTTGGTTACTTTACGGCCGGTATCCTAAGGTCGTGGGCTTGACGCCAAAAAAGAAGAAGCAATTCAAGTACAAAATCATGCTGGTTGATATGGACGACGAGACGAAACAAAAAACTTTGAAAGACGACACTGACGTGAATTTTGATGAGACAAGTCAAAGTGCAGGCTATGGGAGTCAGGGGTACGAGGTTGGGAACTATTCTTGTGCAGAACTTCAGCAAGAAGGGTTTGTGGAAGGAGATACGTTGGTGCTGAAGTACGAGATCACTGCAGTGAATAAATAATATTTAAGTTCGAAAGTTGCATTATTTCGTCGGTGCGTTTGTTATGTTAGATTGTTGGTTCATTTCTGTTTAAGTTCGAGGAAGGCTGGATAAACCGAGCTGTAAACAGAATGTTTGTTGACATTTGGAACAGCACAGAAAACAAGCCCCACATGTTTCTACCTGTAGCAAGAAGTTGTTCCTGGACTGATTTTCCTTCCTTGTTAGTTTTGAACGAGCTACCATTGTTTTAAGATAAATACGCGCATGTGACTGATCCTTCAGTGGCACAAATTGGTGTTTTCATCTCTTTCTAGTTCTCTGGCTCGAAATATAACATTTTGGCCAGCATTATATTATTAATCTCTCC